CTCGACGAACTAAATAAACGACGTGAGATCTTCGGTCTTTATGAAGTTCATAAATATTCTCAGCTTATAAATTCTGTTAAGATTGATAGCGAATTATATGGCTTCATCAACGTCGGTTAGCGTTATGATTATCTGCGATCAAACAGGCGCTGCGAAACAGCTATAATTATTGCTCCGGAGTCGGCATTATTATTCATGCTATTGTCGTACACCGTGAAAGGCTGCTCGTCGTCATGCATCGCGCACTTGAAATTCGCCGCACCGGGCATTTTCAGGCATTTCGAGGGCACGTCGAAAGTGGAGACCGTTCACGAGTGTGCGTGTGTGTGTGTGTGTGTGTGTGGAGCGAAGGCGATTTCTGGAGTGCGAGAATGCGACGACGATTCCGGTATATCGATCGGTCGATATAAAAAGATCCGACCATGGCCGTGTCGCTTTCCTGGCGACTAGATTTTTCATTCATTTGGCTCCATCCTGGTTTTGCGATGCAATTTCGTATGCGATTCGTGCGCAGTTGCATCGTGTGCGATCACATCAATCTGCATACGAATTCTCGGTCTTTCCTCCACCTCGTCCATCCTTCCCCCCCCCCTCTCCCCCTCCCGCCGTTTGCTGCTCCCCGTCTTATCTCTTCGTTTTCTTTTTCATCTTTCCTCCTTTTTCCTCCCCCTCCCTCTTTTCCCTTTTCTTTCCGCGTTCAACCTTTTCCGCCGTTACGTTGGCTACGTTTCTCCTTTATTTCCCTTTCTCTCCTCGTCTCTTTTGTTTGCACCTCGCACTTTCGGACACCCGCGAACTCCCACGAACCTCCGGTGGTTCCTATTAAATCCCGTCGGTATTGTATTCAAATTGGTTCGAGCTTTCGCGTCTCCTACCTCTACGTCCGCTCGTCTTTACCGCGTCGCTCTCTCAACCCCGTTCATCTGGTCGCTTTGCCGCTCATTAAAGGATCCATTAACGGTAGTTAGTATTTCATACAACCTTAACATAACGTAGAAAAATAGCAAGCGCAAAATGTCATAGTCTCTCATATTTAATCGGAAATAGGTAAATGATTTAAAGAGACACGCAGTTAATCTGAAATTGGTAGCTGAAGTGTTCGGGACATCACTAAAAATTTTTAATTTTACAGTTATATTTTTAACTAATTAAGTTATATGGTTTTCAACGTATTTATTATATTAGTTATATCATTGTAAGATAGGAATGTAAAAATAATGAACTCTAAGACTTTGGCTATCCACGCTTATACTTTTTATTTTCTTTTTCCAAAGGAAGGTTTCAAAGAAAACCGCTTGGATTAACCACTCCATCTGCTTATTTAAATGTTAATATACTCTAAATAACAATAGTTATAATTTGGAAACTGTGTACTGAAAAAAGTGGCCTGGTTGGACTTATGGAAATAGTAATTCTGATGGAAACGGACGAATCAGAATTTTCTGATGTTGAGATAACTAGAATCTTCTGATTGATATAATTATTCTGGTAAGAATAAGAATTCTAGTAGATTTTGTCATAAATATCGTATCAACCAGAATTTCGGCTGAATTTCTCAACTAGAATTCTAATTTTAACCAGAAAATTCGGATTCGTCCATTTTCAACCAGAAATTTTTTTTTTTTTTAGTGTACGTTTCCCTCTTTCAACTCTATTTGCAAAACGAAACATATACTTGATAACCACCAGAATCGGATAATGGGAAATAATTTCGATACTTATCGCGACGAACCGTGAGATTTTATCGTAGCACTTTAAGTCTAATTATCGCCTAATTTTTTTCGTGCGTGCGTCGGTACTTCGACTACGCTGGTCGACGCTTGAATACAAAAAAAAAAATTGCGGCTCGCAAAGAGCCGCCGCACGTTTCATCCTCCTAAGAGAGGAAGAGTGACCGTTAATTCGGCAAATTCGGCCAATTGCGTAATTCCGAAAAGAGTCGTTGACCGTCTGGACGCGCCGCGTCGGGTGGTGCAAAAGACGGAGAGTAAAAAAAATGTCGCGCGTCGCGAGGGCTGCGGGCGGTCGAACTCGCAAGAGGGAGGTAAGAGAGGAGGAGGATGATGCGCCTCCACACCAGCGTACGCCACTCACACCACCTTCTTCACGTCCAGAGCGCAATACCGGGAACCTTTTTGCCCCAAGTTAGCAGTTGTGTCACGTCGCGGCGACTACAAAGCACCGCGATTCCTCCCTGCCTTCTCCTTCCCCCTCCCCCCTCCCTCCCTCCCTCCCTCCAACCGTCTTCAGGCCCAGCCCGATGCAATACGCAACACTTGCATACCATACTTATTTCGTACTTAAGCACCGCACGGACCGCGTGTGCATCTCTGCACGCACACGAGCGTACATTTCGTCGTATATACAGGGTGAGCTGATAATTAAGTTCTCCTTCGAGCTGACATTCGTTTCTTTCTTTCGCGAAGCGTACGTTTTTCTACGAGGCATTTGTCGTCAGTTCGGTCGAATTCGAGACACGCGATATATTGAAGTTGTAACTTTCGAAGTTCAATTGTAACGACTTTACGTATCTCATTAATATCCCGAGTCTATAATCGGAGTTTGATTTTATTTATTTTGTTTCTCGCTTTGTGTCTCGCTGCCACTTCCACTTTACTTAACAGTCATTTCTTCACATTTCAGATAATTCGCATTTCATAGAGCCCGCAACGATTGAATTTTGTCATTCTTTCAACCTTTTTTTTTTTTCTGGCTGCGGTTGACAGGTAATCATTTTCCTCGATCACCCCTTACGTAAATAGATACGATGCAGGTTGTCTTCTTTCGCGAATGCGCGCGCGAATACGCTTTTCATGCCGATGAATGATGCATCGCGGACAACGCGCGCCTGCGTTAGCATCGGCGTGTAAATAATGGATTAATTAATAAAAGTGCACGCCCGCACCGGACTTCCTTCTCTCCCCCCCCCCTTTTTTATATACTCTACGTAGTTGTTATACCTTTTAGAAGATAATTTTCATATCATATACATGGGGCAGATGCAACCCGCACCTCCGAAGCGCGTCTATGCCGTTTTACTTGCGTACTTTCGTGTTAGTAAATAAAATGTAGCTCGCTTCACGCTCATTAATTTTCCTTGAGATTACATTATTGTCACAAATCGACGTTTTGTCGCAACGACGCAATACTTTTACTTTGTTAATAGTTACTCTTAATCCTCCAGAGGTGATAGTGAGCCGACACCCATTTCACTCGTTTAGAAATCTTATTACGAAAAATGTCAAACATTTCAATATTCTTTACGTCATATCTGCAGATGATTCTTTATTAAAATTATTTTGTTAAAGAGTATACTTAGTACCCATTTTTTCCCATTTATTTTTTCCAATTATCTTGGCCCCTTGAAATTGATTAGCGCTTTTTAATCCTCGACTACAGCAACGGGTTATTTGGATTTGAAGCGAAAATTTGTAGACTCCATACAGTTAGAGTATTATAAAATTTTTTAAATTGTAGATAAAAAAAGAACTTTGAACCCCTCTCTATTAATCGCCGTAAGACGGGGATTTATTTGCATTCTTCAAATACGGGCATGCTTACAACTTAAGCGTAGTTTTCATAGCTACGCTCAAGGATCGATTAACGTAAAATAAATGACTCTCACAGCGTCGGTAGACGTGTTGCAGATTTTGGCGTAAACTCTACTCCGTAGAGTTAAGCCGATTTTGAGGATCGTCCACGCTTCGCGGTCACGCCGAATGCCTCGACCGTTCGTCTATTTTTAACAGGCATATTATCGTTAGTTTCGATCGAAATGAGAAGCCGACGACCTCCTACGCTTCCTTCTTCGTCTCAGCGAACGAGAAACGATACCGCGGCGCTTCTTCGTGCGAATGCGCGGGCAAGGCGTGGTCGCGCGAGATGCAGAAACGGTGACGTAGCGTCTTGCTCGCGAATTGCTCTCGAGGACTCGTCGATTCGTTAATTGCACTGGCTTCCAGAGACTACCAGGAATATCTGAGGGATTCCTTAATTGCGCGCTCTCGTGTCTGGTAACCCGGCGAGATTACGTCAGTGATGAGCGCGCTCGATCCCTCGTCGCGACGTCTCCGTCTCGCTTCTAGAATCAATTCCGAGACAGTGGACGGAGCTCCGTATTGCCGATAATAATACCTGCATCCTTCGGATAATAAGGGAAAGGGCAATTTAATCGGACGGTCTATTCTCAAATTCACTCATAAATGAAATGAAATCGCAGAGATAGATAAACGCGCGCTCTGTGGCGCTGACTTTTGACGGGCGAGAAGAAGCAATGAGAATCGATTTAGCATGACGGTATGGGAATACCGAATGGAACGTTGCACTGAAGAAAAAAATCGTAGATTGAAGCTTAGAATAAAGAAGGGTATTCCCCGATCCTCTGCCGTCCCGTCGAACATGCAACACGCGATGATTTACGATCCTGTGTACGAAGCGCGCATTGCCGAGCATCGCCACGCAGTCGAACGAAGAAAACGCATCGCGCGTTGCACTCGAATGAATAACATCTTCCGACGATCGCGATATTTTCTTTTTATTTCTCTCACTCTCTCTCTCTCTCTCCCTCCCTCCCTCCCTCCCTCCCTTTCCCGTTACGACACCGCATTGTTCGCACGTTGGTAATTTTACGGTCCTTCCTTGGTTGATTTTTTATATCCTTCATTACACGTAGTTCTTTTATTCTCTTTACTAAAACTATCTCACGGAAATGTCGCGACAACGTAATTATGTTACGTATCATTTTAAATTCTTCGAAAATCAGTGCAATAACAGTATCTTTATTTCTCCGAGTTAATTTCAATTAATTTCAATTAATGATTCCTTCGTCGATACAATTGCGATGATAAATTACCGTGAATTCACCAGGCATCACCACTTTGTCTAATAACGTGTAGTGATCGCGATTTCAGCCGTATACCTATATAGTTGCGCTGACAAATCACGTTTTCTACGTGGTATAAATTCTAAACTTAGCGAACTGTTGTCTACGACTGTTGCAGGTGAACCGGCCGCTGACGATGAAGAAGGAAGGTATCCAAACGAGAAACAGGAAGCTCTCGTCGAAAAGCAAGAAGAAAAAGGCTGGCGGTTGCCTAGGTCTCGGTGGTGTCATGGGCGACATGATCAAGGCCAGCGGACACCTTGATCTCGACAACAAGCCCTTCCACTCAGGATTCGGATCGCCAATGGGTAAGTCGAATTCTTTCGGCTCACAAATATTTTTTCCATTTCAAATTTAATAATTCGAACAATTTCGCAAAGTCGTGTTTTACATTATGTATATTATGGTAACGCCAGAGACAGAAAGATTATCGTCTACACTCAACTCGGGAATAGTCATCTGAGGAATCTTACGTCCCAGCGGGACGAATATAAATATTATAAATGGTTATAATATCACTTTTTGTATGAATATTCTTTCTTGTTTAATTATTCTTTATGAATCTTTAAATGTAATCCGATCGAAAAAAAACCCTGCGATAAAAACGTTAATTAAAATCTTTATTTTTCTAGAAATACTGTCGCATAATAAGCTATTTAACGTACTTACTCCGTTTAAATATTTGTGTTTGGTTTCTATACCTACGTTTTTCAAAAAATTCACATTAAATTGATATCTATAATATTCTCAAATACTAATAAATTGCAAAACAATCAATAATATACAAAAAAATGTATTATTAATAATAGGGACTTTAATTGGGGGTGTAAAAATAACTCAGGCGATCGTTTAAAAAAAAAAAAATCAGACGACTTCCCGCAAGAGAAAGAGTTAAATGTAGATTTAACTTAGATTCGCAATCGTATGACATTTTTCGGTATAAACATCTTTGTAAACGAGACTCGGTACGACCGAAAAGAATCCCACCGTGTCCTCTCTTATGCGAAATTCATTGGGCACAGGAAGAGTAGTTTTAAAAGAGCGACGCTTCCCATTATCGTTCCAGGTACGTCGCAGCATCATCACACGATGCATCCGGCGATGCAGCATTACATGTATCACACGGGTGTCGGCGTGGCCGGAGGTCTTCATCAGGGATTTGCGCCACCGGCGCCGCCCCCCATCCACCCGCACTCACATTCGCATTCCCATTCTCATCACATGACGAGTCTTCAGGGTCTGCAGCTGGCGGCCACGACGAACGCAATGGTGAGTGCACGATTGTTACCTTCATCGGCGATTGGCCAAAGGCTTCGACCGCCGATAATCGATCAGGATCTACCGCGCGTAGAGTTTGTCGATTTCTCTCTCGGGTCCGTGAACCGAGTTTAACGTGCTGCAACTATCTCGCGATAGCGAAACGATACGATATCATTTGGATCCGTAATCCCCGAAATTTCAGTCTTACGTTATCGGGGGTGGAGAAAGGATTCCATTATTAATTATGTTAATTATATGGAAAATTGTGTCCCGGTGAAATGAATTAGTTTTCACATAGAAACTTGTAACAATGTGTGATGAATAAAAGTTGTCATAAACACGAGATTTAACAATGCG